TGTGTTAACCAGTTCTAGAAGATTCTAGATGCTTCTTTTCAATCCTTCTGGAAGCTTCTGCATTTTTGGATACTTCTGGATGCTTCTGGATGCTTCTGGATGCTCTTCTGTAAACTTCTGGAAGCTTCTGCATACTTCTGGAAACATCTGGAAACTTCTGAATACTTCCTTTAACTATTAAAAAACATCCGTGACTTTAACACGGTCCAGGCTTAAGAAAATGAAACAAACTAAAAAAGTTGCACTTGTTTTGTCCGCTGCAAATTAGCACTTGTCAACGAAATTCTGCCTGTGTGCTGTCACCTGTCAGCTGATTGCTCATGTCATGGCATGCTATAACTCTAGACTCCTGAACTGTTCGCTGTGGTAGTATAGTTCGTCTCGTTTTTAAGACTTGTAAAATTAGGACCACTTTTAAGTATTGTTCGATGTTGGTTGTAAATGTTTTGTCCAATAATGTATATAATTCTGTTTTTTGATGTACATAATTCTAAAAGCATGTTTTTGTAAACAAAGAGTTTTTTAAGTTTTGTTAGTTGACAACTTGCCCACGTAATATTTGAATAAGTAATGTAGAAATGAATCAAGCAGAAGTATATAAGCTTTAGATGTATATAAGCTTTAATGTAGAAATGAATCAAGCAGAAGTATATAAGCTTTAGACTCGGCGAACTTATATATGTGTGAATTCATTATCTAATACTAATGGTTTTATTAATTTTTGATTGTATATATACTTTATATGTGGGAACCTTGATAATTGATCATCCACAATAACTCCTAAAAACTTTAAAGCGTCTTGTTTTTTAGTTTGTTTATGATCTATAGGTTTTGGCAGCTAGAGGAAGGTTTTCTATTTGTGTTTTTTTATGAAAAATTGTCTATTGTGTTTTTTCGACGTTAAGAGTAAGTTTACTTGATCTGAACCAATTTACTTTTTTTAATTCAGTTTTCATGTCAGCAATATAATTGATTAATACTGCTATTTGATAAAAATAGATTTGTATCGTCTACAAACATGATAGCATTTAGTTTTACTGATGCATTAAAATCTTTAACATAAATTAAAAATAAGAGCGGTCCTAGGATTGATCCTTGAGGCATACAGAATATTCAATATTCCAAGTTTCTTGTTTTGAACATATTGTTTTAAAGATATTAGGTAGATTATTTTTTTATCTAATGATATAATTTATTGTATACTTCGTACCATTATAGTTTTTTCTAATAGAATAAAGTAATCAACGGTGCCGAATGCCTTGGATAAATTTATGAATACTTCGAGAGTAAACTTATCATTTTCAAAACCATCAGTTATTTGGTCAATTTTTTCAATAATGACATGTTTAACTGAATGTTTTTTCTGAAATTAGAATTGTTTTGGATTAAACAGTTTATTTTTTGTAAAATAATCAAAGGTTCTATTATAAACACATGTTTAAAAATTTTTGAGAAAACAGAAAATACCGATATGGTTCTATAGTTAGGCACGATCATTACTTTTATAAATTGGGTATACTCTTGAAAGTTTAAGTATATCAGGAAATATTCCTTGATTTAAATATAGGTCTACTATGCGGAACAAAATTTATTTTAATGCTTTTTTTGTTAGATATAAAGATATTACTGGGAATTTCATCAAATTCTGGAGGTTTCTTTTTTTTAAAGAAAAGTAAGCTGCGTCAAATTCAAGAAAAGTTAAGAAGCTATCATACATTGTTGCATCTGTTGATTTTTTTAGATATGTTTTAAATGACGTAGAAGTTAGTATAATTTTATTTGCGAGACTAATCCCAACATTTGTAAAGTATTTATTAAATTCGTTTGATCTTTTAATATGACAAAATCTGGTTTATTAATGTTAAGTCTTTGAGGTAAAACTGAACTTTTTATTTGACTTCAGCCCATTACGTCAATAATTAGAGAATATGTTTTTTTAACCTCAAACTTGGAATTGCTAATTTGTTTACTAGAACACTTTTTTTTTTATTTTCTAAAAAGATGTTCATAAAAATACTTACAATTTTTGTATATTTTCTCATTCTCTGTACTTTTGTTTTTTAAGAATTTGTTGTACAGTTTTTGTTTGTTTTTAGAACACTTTAAAAGTGTTTTATTCATCCAAGGATCCAAGCCTCGTCAAATATTGCTAAAAATTTAGTTAAAAAAGTTCGAAAAGCTTTGTTTGTATAATGAAATTTATAGACATCATTCAAATTTTCTACATTTAATTTATTCGATAGTTCATTTATATTAGTAATGGAAAACTTTGGCTAAGAATCCTTAAAATTTTTTCTTAATATTAATGTAGATCGAGGAATCATCGCTTATATCTGTTTTAAAAATGCCTGACTGAAATGACGCTTCTAAGTAATTGTTTATAAGTATATTATCAGTTGCATTTTTTGAATTTTTATTCACAAATTATTGGTTACTGGCAAGACATTGCATCTAAACAATATATCAAAAAACGATTTAGTGTTTGGAAAGTTATAGTAATTCAGCGCGTTAAATTTATATAATCAGTTTTACATAATTGTTTTTTTTTTTCTTTGTTTATTTTCAAAACACACATTTTTAAATAAAATTTTGAAACAGTCTGATTTCTCCACACGGTGGACGGTTAATACATTTAATTATATAATTTTTATTTTTGGTCATTAATTGTTTCAAGCCTAGGATGATGAAACTGGATCTTCTTAACTCTACTCGTAGGTTTTTGCTTGTGTCTCCTTGATAGTGGCTATAAAACTCTTCCTGTTATCTCCTAATAAGAGTACAGCTTTAATGGTTCTGAGGCCGGCTGATAAAAAGTTTCCCAAACTCTGTGATAGGTCTCAGAGAAACTGATTCCACCAATAGCTGCAAAATATCAGAGTATTAACAAATCTATGTTGCTCATGGATGGTGTCCCTGTTAATGCTTCTGGTGTGCAATAAGATCATTTAAAGGCCACATAAGGAGCTCTATGTTACGACTTAATTACAGGATTAATTACAGGGTTAATTACGGGATGAGACAACTGCGTAGCTCATTGCTCAGGGGGCTGTGCCCTATCAATGAATGTGTCAAGTTCTTAATAAACTTAAATCATGCTAAAAGTAACCCAAAATTTTAAACATAAAAAACCATCCCCACCACCTAACTGTTTTAATATACTTTTTACAAATATTTGAGGTCTGCAAAGTAACCGTCCATTAGTGGAATCTTACCTCTCGCAAATATTCGTGGTCTGCAAAGCAATCTTTCATCAGTTGAGTCTTAATTTTTGAAAACTTCACATACAAATTTCCGCTATTACTTTATAAGATCTTTGTGTTTATGGGCTTTATCCTTTGATTTGCAAAGACTCCAATAGTTACATGCTTAGCATGGGGGTATAGATACGTATTCATTCACTTATTTGTCGTGAAATACGAATTCTTTTACCATTCTTTTAGGTGCTTCCTATCAGTACCTCTTCACTCTATTATCTTTCTCTTTGTTCCTAATTGCTCTCCTTCTTTGCCCTCTTTTAGATGTAATTTTGATCAAATTGACCATGCCCTCTTTCTTTATCCCTCTGCCCAAATTGTTGTTGTTGTTGGTAATTTCAATGCTCCTCACACTAAATGCTTTGGCTCTAACTCCTTTGATCTTGCTGGAACTAAAGTCTATAACTTCTGCATTTCTCAATCGCTTACTCAGATAATTAACTTTGTGATTTGTTTTCCTGACAGCTCTAATCATTTATCTACACTCCTTAGTTTACTCCTCTTTCTTCCTTTCTATAAATATTTCATCTTGTACTTCTTTTTTGTACTCATCTCACTCACTTTTGGATTCTATCTTTATAATAGCTGGAACATCACAATGCTCAGTTGGATTGATTTTAAAATCAAATTGTTGCAAGTTAACATTTACAAACCATATTGGAATAAACTTTTTTCAAGATTTAGCTCCAGATGAGCAAAACTTAGTTGCGCTAAGGTGTTAGTGTTTCTTCTGTTTTGATTATTGACTTATGTTTTCATCATCAAAAGTTCTATCTTGAGAAGTTCCCTGTGTTTCAGAATAAATCCTGTGATCCACTGTTAGTTCACAAAAGACCGTGCAAAGGTTAGTAAAGCTTGTCATAAATTTTATAATAGTAAATTTGTCATAATTTTAAGTTCTTTATGTTTGTTAATAGTAGGCACATTTTACTTTATTAAGTTATATTTTTTAATTTAGCATCTCTCAGAGAAGTCAAGATCCATACCCAGTAAGAAAAAGACGTCAAGCCTTAGTTGTACACGACTGTTTCAAACCAAGCTTAACGGCTTCTTGTTATTTTTTGAAAATATTGACTTAAGGGGTGTTACTAAAACTTCTATAACTTTTAAAATATTAAAGATAATTTTGTTTTGTAAAAAGAATAACACCAATAAAATGTTTCATCTTAAGACATTTAATGCATAAGTAAAAAAACTTCTTTAAGTTTAAAAAAAACGCGACAAATGATGAAGTTGGCTGAATTCAAGTAATTTGATGTTACTTTTTATCAAAAAAAAATCAGAAAAATTTATTTCTGATAGTTATTCTCAAATATACCCATTTTTTAACTATTATAAAAACAAAAAAACCTTACTTAATTGTTTAAGGATAGCTAAAACAGACTTTAATGAGGTCTGAAAGCAAACCGCACTTTTCGCAAAGTTATGAAAAATGTAGTTAAAAGGGGGATTAGCTGTTAAAAGAGTACATTTTTAAACCTAGGAGTTTTTGTTTTAGAAACCTATTTTCCTAAGCCAATAAGTTCATTGCATTGCAATGAAAAGCCAGATTTCGATTTTGGAATATTTAGTCAAAACATTTAAAGCTAAAGATTTATTTTTTTCTGTGCATACAGTTCTAATAATATGGTGTTAAGTTGTTAATAAATAAATACTCACCTAGTCTAATAAAATAATTCATGACCAAATTTGAGTTTAAGTTTTTGAATTAACCTCGCTTTTGGTAGTAGAATTATTTTATAGCACTTGAATCTATAGTCTCTTCTCTCAGTAAATAAAGTGTTTGAATATACAAATAGCTAATTGAAATCTTTTGAAAATTTGTTTTTATTCCCATTAAAAACTGTTCTATAATCAGTTGGTTTACTGATAGATTCTTTAAGAAGTAAACTATCTTTGTACATCCAATTGATATCAGATTCATACTCATGCTAAACCAGAAAAACAATTGCTCCACTCAAAATTTTGATAACGTTTATAAATTCTTAATTTATTGAACTAAATTTTTACACCAACTTGATATGAGATTTATATTCCATTCTTTAACCAGCAAGGAGGTTTGTAAAGCAGAGGTACTGCAAAGGTAGAATTAACTTCTGGTGATAAACATCGAATAGATATGTAATATATCTATAAAAAAATGTTACATATTATAAAGGACAATACATTTTTTAAACTAAATACACAAACATACAAGATCATACCCAACCAACATACCAGTTGCTCTGATCACAAGTTAATATATAAAAGCTAGATTTTTACATACATTTGATGCGAGACTAGCATTCCATTCTTTAACCTGAGCGAAGGTAATGCATAGGTATAAATAACTTCTGAAGCTAGGAACAGAATGGGCACCTACCTAGTATATAAAATCAATATATTAAAAAATAATATTTTAAACACAGATATCAATATTTTAAACACAGATATTAGAACAGAATAAAATTATCTTATATACAAATTAAAGATCTCATATAATTTATCTTACTTGTAAATAGTTTTTTGTTGTTGTTGTTGTTTTTAATTTTTTAAATATTTTAACTAAATTTGATGACCACAAACAAGACAAAGACCTTGTCTATAAAATGAATTTTCGCCACGCTCAGAACACACATCACACTTTCTCACCTTAGAGGCTTGAAGCTTCCTATCAGCTTTGCTGTGCAATTCAAAGCGTTTTAAAACGAGATGCAGCTTTTGCTCCTGATTTCTTACTGAATGCAACTGTCTTAATTCCTTATTTACGCTATTATGCAAACACTCTCCCTCCTCTTCACTTAGCAACCCAATAGTTTTATGGAATTTTACAAATAGTGGCACATTAAAAATAAGTTCATGCATATTTCGTGTGATACTTTCATTTGGAAAGCAAGCATGAAACTCAATAGCAAATAAATTTATATATTGATGAAGCCCGAGAATTAAGGCTATATTCTCACGACAGTCTGAACCCTGATACATACAAAACAAGTGAACATCGTATACAGACTCTGATGATTTAGAATTGACAACTTCAAAATGGAATTTCATATATTTCCCACCCTTAACACCAGCAAAAAGGAGCCATACTTCTTCGCCAAAACCGACATCCGAATTAAGGTGGTCGCGTACATAAAGATTAGTAAAAACCTCTTCAATATAAGTTGTCAAATTCTTGACCATCAGTACAGATACTAAACAAGGTGCTTCATTCGCAGATGGATAAAGTAACATGGACTTCACAGTGACATGTTCTTTATTGACATGTATTGTCCGCTTTTTTTGTTCTTGTCTCATCTTGGGCTCAGATGAGAGAATCCTTGCACCAAGATTACACAGAATGCGTCTTAGTCTACGGAATTCAGCCGTGGGTATCCTTAATTGGCTCTGTAGCTCTACAGCATCAGAAACACTTAACTGCTTAACTAAACCCAACTTATTTGCAACACAACAAAATATTGACTTTTCACAAGACATAGAATCACAAAACAACATAGACAAATCACTTTCTAAATCTGAACAAGCTAATAATCGAAGGAATATAAAAGCAAGTTTAGATCTTTTAGCTGCAGCAGGCCTACCTAACTTAGAATAAGGTTTACCATTTCCTAACTTAATGTAAATATATTTTTGACTAACTATTGGCTTTTTAACTGATATATTCTGTGGATTACTTAATTTAAACCCACAAAATAATTCAAAGGAACCAATGTTGTCGTAGTCTAAATAAGAATCAACGACAACTAAATTCTTATCGCTACTAGCAAAACATTTGCAAATTTGGCAACTGTTCTAGCTTAAATCACTAATTTTTGCAATTCTTTTTTCAATATTAATTTTTTTTAGCAATCTTACATTTTTGGTATGAGCAGATGCAGATTTACGCTGTGCTGTTTTAATTTTTTTTTTTTAAAGTTGGAACTGCTCCTCCTGTTTTAGCCTAATACTCATAGTCTCTAATTGAGAACTTAATGAGTTACAATGTGTGTTGAGAGCCCTATTTTTAGAATTTAAATCTGTAATTTCAGCTTACAACTTAAATACTTGCATTTTAAATTTTTCTATTTGCTCCATATTTGTTTTATTTTCAGAAGTTAATTGATCAATTTGGTTCAGTAGCTCCTGACTGTTACTTAAAGTAAAAAAGTCATCTGCATCTGCTGATTTTTTTTTTTGGGTGGAGCTTGCGATAGTTGCATTTTAAAAAGTTCTTCGTTTTTTATAGCTTTAAAATTTTTTTTATATTTCTTTTTTTGTCGTGTTAACTTTAGGCACATTTTATCAGGCTCGTCATTACTAGGCATATCAAAATCAATTGGCAAAAGAAAACTCATAAAACTAAATAAATCACTTCTTATTTTAAAGACTGTCATTAAAATGGAAATGACATTGTTACTGATCTTATCTGTTCTAATTAATCGCTTAACAAAAGGAAAGTTACACCTATCTTCCCAACCATTTTTCCATCCAATATGTTGTTTTAGAATTTCCCTCTCAGTTAAATACATAGTTATCAAAATAATATTAATTTATTAATCAATATAATAAAAACAAGCAAAATAATATTAATTAATAAATATATGCACTAGATAAAAGTGGATTTAACAACTTATCTGATATTAGTTTGATAATCCAAAGAGAAAAATTCCGCGTAACTTTGTTTACTTTATACTTCAAAAATTGACTCGCCGAAACAGTTGTTTGGAGAATATTCGTTAATAAATAGTTTGGGACGTAATGCATGAAGGTTACGTCATCGCAAAAAAACGTCAACACAAATGTACGCCTAAAACTAACAAGATTAGTTGTAAAACATGACATTTTTGAAAACATATTTCATAACATAGCTGAAGGCAAGTAAAATAATCTTTTTATTTTCATTTGCATAAAAGGTTGAAATTTAAATAACTTACGTCATCCATCAAAAAAGTTACGTTTTGGATTTAAAAACGATTAATTAAAAAATATAAATGCTTTAAAAACAGTCTTTTTGTGATAAAATCTCTAGGATGACACAGGAATCTGATAGAATGGGCATTTAGGATTAAGTGTTCTAAATTTCAACTTTCAAGCACTGAGCTATGTTATGAAATCTTAGTTGCCCCAATTCATGTTTTCCGGAAAATATGCGAAAATTAGAAAAGTGGTTCTAAATTATTAAAAATATTTTGGCAATATTTATTTTTATACCAATTAATGTAAATATTTATTTAACAAGGAAAGATAGATCTTTTATATTTTTTTAATTGCAAGATGAAAGCATTTATATAAAAAAGTTACTATTAATTTAAAGTTTCTGAATTTTTATACTTTTTATGCGGAAATACTTTTTTTTTTTGATAAACTCATGACATCACGCTTGTTTTTATATTGAGTGAAACAGCCGTGTGTAATTTGGTCGCGACGCAAGTTAACTAAATTCCAACGATGTTCCAACGTCGGCATTACGGTGTTGTTCTAAGGTTTGCTATCAAACGTTGGAACAACGTCGGAAAAACGTTATCATCTAAAGTCTTAAATGTTAACATTAAAACGACGTTGGAACAACGTTGGATGTTTAACGTAAAACCAACGTTAGTCTGATTAACGTTGGAACGACTTTAAGACAACGTTGTTTTTTTTACGTTTTTACTTTTGACATCAAAGCAACGTCAGCTTTCTAACGTAAACACAACTTGATTTTACAAACTAGCGCATTTTTAAAATGGTTGAAAAACCGTTATCGAAAAAGATGTTATTTTTAATCTAATTTTAATTTAATGGTTTTTAGGCATTATATTCTGTGATACTAATAATTAATACATTATTTCTTTATATTCTACATTCGAATTAGATATTAAACTCTTATCATATTAATGATAAATAAAAGTTACTAAAACTTTATTTGATTTTCAAAAACTGTTGACATTTTTGTTTTGTTTTTGTATACTTTGTATATTTAACATTACTTATATAGTAAAAATTTCTAACATATATAATATTTGCACATAATATTTTATTTACAAATAGATAATGCAACGATAAGTTTTTTAAATACCCGTTATTAAACTATTTAGCAGTTTAATTAAATGCCAATAAAAATACAGAACCTTTTTTTTAAGACATTCAATTCAGTTGTCTAAGACAATTGAAAGTTGTATTAAAACAAGGTTTTTACTTAATGTGCATAATAAATTAAGTATAAATTTAAGACAATTAAGTTATATTAAGACAATCTCTTAATCATAATATATATTTTATTTGTTTGAATGTAAAGTTTTTTAGTTTGTTGTGGAACTAGACTAGAAATTACCTAATAAGCTTCTCATAACTTGTGTAATGTGTTTCTTTTACGAATTTGTATATTGATATAATCATATCATGCTCTTCCTACAATATTATAACTAACACTGACTCTCATAAGTTTGAGTCTCAAGTCATGAAAAAGGGTAAACAATTTTTTATGTATTTGTATTAAGTTATTTTTATTTTATTTTTTTAATTGTTATTCACCTCCGGGTTACTACCAGGAACATGGTAAGGATAGAACTCATAACTTCTCACTATGAAGCAAGCGAAAAACATATCCTACAGAAACAGCAACAGAACATCTAAATTTTACACTAGATTTTAGTCATAATAAACAAAATATTTATTTAAATCAATACACACAAAGTGTTAGATGATATACACTCAGTCAGTATTTAATTTTCAAAATGAATCACAATCTCATGTTTCCCTAATTTCAGAGTTGAAAGAAAGAACTGATTTTGGCCATAAAGGCCATAAAGGGTGCTGCAGTTGAGGAGGCTCCTTTTTATTTCAATTGTGGTTATAACCCCCTCTCAATTCAATAACTCCGAAGTATTTCAATAAAGTACATGTCAAATATATTTGTGTGTAGTTTTTGTATATGATATGTGATATGATATAGTTTTTAAAGTTAATATGTTATACCAAAATTCATACATACATACATATATATATATATATATATATATATATATATATATATATATATATATATATATATATATATATATATATATATATATATATATATACATATATATATATATATATATATATATATATATATATATATATATATATATATATATATATATATATATATATATATATATATATATATATATAAATATATATATATATATATATATATCGTCATTTACTTATTCTCTTATTATACTATCATTTACTTATTCTCTTATTTTTCTAACCGAAAAACTATTTAATCTTATATTTAAATAAAACTCATGCCAAGTTAAGATATATGTTTTTTGAATGTTATTATTTTTCTTCAATTTTTATGTGCAGAGTTAAAGTACTAAGTTATCAAAGTATTTAAAATCAGAACAAGTCGACTTAAATATACATAATCACATTATTTAATCTTAAACTTAAACTTAACAATAGAATATTTGAACGAGTTTACACTAAGAATTGGTAACAAAGGTTTTGCTCAACAGTTTGTGAGTTTGATTTCAATATGTTTAACATGATTTAGAGAACAAAACCTGGACAATATATTTTAACGCCCAGCTTTTGAAACAGCAAAAAATTTTCAATCACTTTATTAAAATGAATCCAAATCATTTGCTGTTACAAATTATTTCATCCTATTTATTTAGCCTATAAATATTTTTAAACATTTTAGATTGGATGCAGCCTAACAAAATTGTGAAAAAACAATATTGAGTAATTCTAATGTTTTAAAATTTTATTTCCGTTACAAAATTTAGTGAGTAAAAATATTTTATATTTATGAGTTTGCCATGATTGCTCTGATTAAATCATGGCAAAATACTTATTCAGTTCTAACTGTTTATTAAATAAGCTTGGGTCTTTAAGGCTTGACCTTGGTGAATGCAGTAAAAAATGTTTAAATAAGATCTTATGTGTAAAACACTTCAATGTGCCTTTTTTATATTTTTTTCTTTTAAAGTCCAACTCTCACGTGTTGGCGGAAAGTTACCAAAATATGTTAAGGACTTAATTTAGAGGTAACTTTTGTATTTCTTCATTTATATTTTTATTTGTTTTATGTATATTCAGAACATTGCAGGCATTATGAATAAATGCAAAGATTTTGTTGATTATTATTTTAATATTACTTTAAATGAGTATACATATTGCAGGTGAATATTTATATAAGACATTAGCAAACTAATACAAATAGCTATAAAAATGATATCAATAGAACATTTTGAAGTATTTTTATTATAAAAGTTCATTTCTTAAAAGTTAAAAAATGCTAATTTGAATTATGAAAATTGTCAAAATTTTTATAAAATTTTTGTATTTATAATACTATAAAGTATCCATGTCAAAAGTATTAAAAATATTATTAACAATATATGAATAAATTGTTATAAGTAACTATATATATATATATATATATATATATATATATATATATATATATATATATATATATATATATATATATATCTGATAATATTAATACGCTAATTTAATATTATTAGTCGAATTACGTCATTTTCTAGGCTTTTCTATATGCGTTTTTTTTTTTAATTTTATTTACTAACAACGTGTATTATGGGTTGCTTACTGCTAGTATATATATAAATATATATAAGTTTTTATATTTGTGCATACAGATAAACAAATATAAATGTATGATGATATCAAGATCAATTATATTGTGAAAGTCTAATTGTTTGATAAACAGTTTATTAGAAAATGATAATTATTGAAGTTAAATTAGTGATTTTTTCTTTAAGCCTATTCTAATAGTTTTGATATTTTTGAAAGTGATTCTATGTTATATTTTACTAAACTCTCTATAAAAAGTGCTCATTTAGTAAACCCTTTGGTATTTGTCCTGATTTTTAATTTTTGACCTTGTTCAATGGTCAGTTAAACATTTAGTTGCACATTTTTCATTATATAATTTGCTTGTCTGAATGCAGCAACATGGGCATAGGAAATAATTGTTACTAAAACACCTAATCATGTGAATACTGAAAAATTATTGTAATTACATTTATCTTGGTTTTCACATCTAGCCATTGATGTTAAAAGTATGCTCCATAATGATCACATGTGTATTAACCAATGATATTTTATATAAACTAGTTGTCTTACTTCAATCCAAAAAGTGATGCCGCTTTTGTCCTTTTTACAAATGACAGATTAAATTTGTAAACAAATACTATTTAACTATTTTCTTATATATGAAGTAAATATATTTTTATATATGTAATATATTTTAAATCTATATATGTAATCTTTATATGTAAAAGTGTTAAGAGGAAGTTAGAGTACTTGTAAAGTAATAATTTATGATTTCTAAATTTATTTTCGATTAAAAAGGGATTAAAAATTAAAATAGAAATAAACCTTAAATAAACCTTGATAAGTACTTTATATTTATTATAACATGTTTTTGAATTATCTTTAATAATTAATAATTAAAATAAAAGTCTCATGACTTTTAACAAAATCATTTTAACAAAATTTTGTTAAAAACAGAAAGTCTAGATCACAGGTGGAGTTTTAAAAAATAAAAGACTATACAGTTAATTTCTTTTGTATACTAGTCTCTATGCACTGAAGATACAAGTTAAATTAGCAGAATCAATGCATTGGTTATGCATTGATGCTATTAAATTGGTTTGGATGACTGGATTATTAAGGCTGTGGGTTATTATGGTCCAACATTCATAACATACAATTTACATTATTCATTTTTTATAGTTTTCTGAATGATTGCTTCTTGATATGTCTGCCTTTTTATTTAAAAAATTATTGGCTTTTGGTAAGAAGATGCCACTTGCACAAATGGTCAAGGGTTTAAGTGAAATATAAGTAGTTCCGATTGGAAGAAAAAACACCTAACAAAGTAATCATTAGTCTTAAAGAGAGCTATTTATAAAAACAATTTTTGATTCTTTGCTTAGTGAAAATGTACCATTCAGTTTCTTTATTTACCATGCAATTAATGTTATAAAAAAATATATTGCCAAAATAACACTTGTAAAAAAATAACTTTCCAGAAATCTGAACTCAAAGATATTTTATATCTTTTGAGGGTAAAACTAGACATATTTTTTTCCCGTTATTTCATGATTGTGTGTTTTAAATTAATTTTGTTTATTTATTCAATTAAAATTATTTTGGAGGCAATTTTACTAGTTTTGCATTTTATCGAGGTATTGTTTATTCTATTTCAGATAATGTTGCTAAAGGATTTACAGTCGATAATCTTTCGAAAGCAGAAAAACTCAGGTTAGCATCAAATAGAAAGTTAGCGCAATTTCTGGTATTTGTGGTATTTCTATTTGTTTATTCCGAATGTTTTTTATTTAGTTCTTAAAAATGCTTTTAATTGGATTTGTTTGTAACTTTATGTTTCTTCATATATATTTGTCTTTTAGTGTCAAACAAAGAATACGCGAATTATTTGAGATATGATTGAAATTTGCAAAGAAAGTAAAAATCAAACTAGTTTCATTCTAAGTTATTGTATATAATTTTAAAATTTTGGAATAGAAGTGATGCAATGTTTATTTATTTTTAGTCTTCTAATTTCCGTATTCAATTATTTGCCCGGACTAATATAATAATCGTGTATAACCTAAATAAATAAGAAGAAATATAGCTTGACAGCGCAAAGTTATACAGTGTAAAATTGTCCTTTATTGTTTTTTGCAGTGTAGAAATAACATTAAAAATGATAGAAAAACGTTGGAGGGCGTTTTTCTTACAACGTTTCGCAACATTGTTAATATAACGTTGACCTATGTTTTCATTTATGCCATTATTCCAACGTGTATAAAACGATAGAAAAGACGTTGGCTCAACGTCATTTTGGCTAAAATATAACGTTAGCCTAACGTCCTTATAACGTCTTTTTTCTTCAAATTTAACGTTGCTCTAACGTCTTTCCGACGTCATTTAGCTAAAATGTAACGTTGTCACCACGTCATTTTACATCGTTGTAATAACGTTAGTAAAATGACGTTTTTTCGTATAAAAAATACTAACTTGTCCTGGTTCGAGAGTTATTTGACTAATAGGAAGCAGTATATAGTAATTATGAGACAATTAAATGTGTCATAATTACTATATAAATTGAAATTGAAATTGATCCTTGTTCCTCAAGAATCAATTTCAGGTCTACTTCTATTTCTCGTTTACATAAACAATTTAAATAAATTTTTTAAAATTTTAAATACAATTTTGTTTGCAGATGATACCAGCTTGTTTTATTCCAATAAAGATATCAATATATTATTTCAAACAGTAAACAAAGAAATAGAAAAGCTAACCCAATGGTTTAAATCAAACAAATTATCTTTAAATATTACTAAAACAAAATGCACTTTCTTCCATCGTCTACATAAAAACTTAGATATTCCCTTAGAACTTCCGGACATTTTTATTGGTAATAAATTAAGAGAGAGCAATCAATAAAGTTTTTAGGTGTGTTTCTAGACAAAAATGTAACCGGGAAACATACAGGTGAAGTTAAAGATAAAAAATCGAAAAGTTTAGGTATAATGTACAAAGCTAAGCAGTTATTAAATCAATTTTGTTTAAAAAAGATTTACTTTTCTTTTATTCATTGCAACTTAAGTTATGCAAACGTTGCATGGTGCAGCACTAACCCGACGAAAATAAAAAAATTGCTTGGCAATCAAAAACAGGCTATAAGGATAGTTTCAAACGTAAATCGTTTATTACAAACACTACTTACTGAGCTCAATATCCTAAATGTATAAAAACATTTATATAAATTATCTGTATTGTAAACCAAGGACCAAAGTTGTGGAACATAATATTAAATAATGAACTGAAAACTAATTATTCTCTAAACCAATTTAAAACAAAACTTAAGCAATTACTTTCGTTAAATGAAAATGAATTAAGTTTCTTCTAATTAAATAAAGCTACTTTAAATTAAAAATCAATAATTAATAGCTAATTAATTAATTACAGTAGATTATTAGTTCACAATTAATCAATATATATTTATAATTAATCAACAAATGTACATCTATTTTTATTATTTTATTTAATAATCTTCTTTTTGAGAAATTTTTTTTTTTTTTTGCTTTGTTAATTAATCCTTTACTTTCACTTTTTACTTTTTATTTGCTTTTACTGAATTGGCAATAAAAAGTATTACAAATTTAATTAAAGTCAAACTATAAATTGCTCTAACAATGAAGTGTGTTTTATATAAAATAAAATCTTCTTATTTCTTCAAACCAATTAAATGTTATTTTTGTCATTTAAATATTTTATTAAATTTTGTTCTTTTATTTTGCAAAATAATTTTTAAACCTTATTCTTTAAAAAACTATAAATTTTAAACACTAAACGATATGTAAACATTTTCTTTTATATTATTAATTCAGAGATATATAGATTGAAACTATTTTTTATTGTTAAACTATATTTTATCTAGTAAGGGCGCATTTTTTGGGGCATGGTGATAAGACTAAATTTGTCTTCTTCTAGCCCCTGTCATGTAATTATTTATTATAAGTTACGACTGTAATTTTTTTTTATTGGCAAAAGTGTAAATAAATAAAAAAATAACCATTGAGTATACTAGGTATTTTAAAATGTCACTTTTTAAATCGTAAGACGGATGAGACTGGTAAAAATCAGTTTGCATGCAATACGTAAGATCAGTAGGAATTTTCGTAGTACATTTTACAAAGAGTCCAATTTCATAATTTAACCTAGTATCTTCACTTTAAGTTTGTCTGCTTCTTGTTCGAGATATCTTTATCGCCTTATCTTTATCTTAAATAAAAACACTAAAAGAATAAATGATTTAGTGAAAAAAAGGTTTAATAAAAGCAAAAGAATTTTAGTAAACGAAAAATTTGATTTTTATATGTCTTATCATAATTGTAAGATGACAAATTTCTCTATAACTAAGTTTTTTTCATAAAATAAAAATATAAAACTCATGAATAAAAATATAAAACTTATAAAATAGAAATAAAAATATTAAACTCATAAAATAAAAATGTAAATATAAAACTCGAAAAATAAAACATAAAAAAAAATATAAATATTCATTTAGCCTCAATCAAATTTTCATCATCCTGTAAAGTTTATAAATGGCTTTAAAGTTTATGGCATTGTTATTAAACAATGCAACATGTAATTAAAAAATAATCAATGAACTATTTTCTATGCACTCGCTTCTGTTTAGTTATTCTCTATAACTAATTTTTTTTTTTTTAATTCTTTTTATTTTTATGCATATATCTATATTGTGCGGCCGTGGCGCAGGGTTACAGCGCTTGCTTTAAAAGCAGGAAATTCAGGTTCGAAACGACCTCTGGGCATATTTTTGCGCCAAGGTAAGGAAGGAGGAGTGAACTTCCTGATTAAATTCACTTCTGCGGTGCTCTGTGACAAGACCGTTAGGTCTTCTTGGGGCACCTAAATAACAAAAAAAAAAAAAAAAAAAAAATTATGTTTAAAAATTTTAATGCATAAAAAAACTCTTCTAGGAATTCTACTTCTTCAACTCTTCTTTCCAAGTTATTAACTTCTCTCCTTTTTCTTTCCTCCTTTTTATCTGTTATATTATTTTGTTATTGATATCAATATTAAATTGAACAATGTACCAAAAATTAAAAAAATTTAAAATATGAAAGTGCATTTCTGTCTTTTTTGATTACTTATAAGTAATCAAAAGTAACAGAAAAACACTTTCATGTTTTAAATCTTTTTAAAACTTTTGATGCATTGTTTAATTTAATATTGACTGCTGATTGCACATCCTTTGACGACACTCCATTAACTGACAGACACAAGCTAAAAATACATAAGAGTTCAATAGTATATTGATTTATTTTGTAAAATATATAGAAGTTTAATTGCTATAATTAGTTACGAACTACACCAACAACAAGGTCTTGACATATTTTGGGTTTTGCTACTCTGTTATAGTGAGCATTACCTCGCTTTCCAGATAAATTGGCACGGCTCAAATCGTTTCCCACCAATGACACTAATTGTTTCTAAATAACAAAGTAAATGTAAACATGAAAAAGTATAATAAATTAGATAAATGAATAAAATTTATAAATTGTTTAAGATAGAAATGTCTTACTCTACAAGTTCCGTCTGGATAGCTAGATTCTTTCCAGATTGAAATGGATGAACTAACAGTTTTAGTAAGATTCGATTTAGAAATAAGTCTCTAAAGACATTACTTGTTATGCTAAATAAATTATTAAGTTGATCAGACATATCTGAAGAGTTTAGAGTTTCAGAAGTTACTCTACCAAACTCGAATGATTTACTGGATGTCTACCACTTCTGAAAAGATGATAAAGTTAGTTAGGTTAATGTTATGTGTATCTTCTAATTCAATTGAATAATTTAATAAGTTTGAATATTGATTTGAACTAGGAGTAAAAATTTTAGTAAATCTTCTATTGCTACATCAGACAATCTGTGTAGCAAAGAAGTTGAAAGGATCAAAACAAAAATTTCAGTCGTTGAAACAAGAGAAACACTGTTTATACCCTCTTTGACTAAATCATTAGGTCCATTTTATCTTTCTACTATATCAATAGGTGATTTGGTAGTTAAATTAAAAATTGCATAATCGGTACTTTTTTTTACTTCAGAATTAAATTCATTTTCAGCAGAAATCTGATTGATATTATCTGATAATCTACAAAACCATAACTTTTGAGCTTGGATAGAATTACTTGGTTATTGACTGTGTCAAAAGCTTCTACTTAAATCAATGAATACACCTAGGATATACTTGATTTCATCAAACGCTTTAAATATATCAAGAACAAGGTGAGTGATTTCAGAATCATTGAAATGGCAGATTTTAATCTAAACTGTTTATGGTATATTACTAACAGTTAAAGAAAAATCGTCTTTTTGACATAATTCGCTCTAATATTTTAAATATTTTAGAAAAGCAAGAAAAAGTTGAGATTGTTCTATAATAAGAAACATCTAAAGGATCTCGTGATTTTAAAACTGGAATGACTTTTTCAATTTTTTAAGTTCCCAGATAACTTCACCTTGTTTTAAACTATAAATTTGGTATAATATGCAAATCTTTTAAGTATTAATTTGCAATACAGGTATGGAGTCCTTATCTTGAAAAAGATATAAACATATTAAAATTCAAAAACGAGTAACGAAACCTATACCTGAGCTGTCTCTCATACAATAAAAGACTAGAAAAAATGAAAATGACATCTTTAAAACAACGAAGAATTCATGGAGATCTCATACAAATGTACAAATGGTATTATGAAATAAAAAAAATTACTTGGAAAATACTCCCCAAATATTACCGCTCCTCAACTACTTCGGGGCTACCCCCAAATATTCGAGGTAGCAAACATCGTTTATTCAACGATAGGATATATTTAAATCAAAATTGTGAGGGTTTTTTTTACAAATCGCACAGTCAAATTCAGCACAACCTCCCAATTGAAACAGTGGAAGTTAAAAATCCAACTTGTTTAAAGCTAAACTAGACTTAATTGAGACTTAATCGAGTATATTTAACTTTCTTGTTATGTCTGTAAAAGATTCAACATGGCGTTAAATCTAAACAGTATTGCATATTATTATATTATTATTAAGACTCAAGGATTTGATTAAATATTTAATGGTATAGCTATTTCGAACAAAATCAGTCTAAGCAGACTCTAATCTTTATACTAAAGCTCTCAATAAGTTCAAATGTAATAGTAATTTGGACAAACCTTGATTTATAATGGAATCATTCATAACTTCTCAATAATAAATCGTTTTACACAAATCAATTTTGATTTCAAAAGGACCTTTCAACTGACTGAAATAAATAACTCATGGTTTTAAACAAAAAATTAAAACATGGTTTTAAACAAAAAAAACTCTAGAATATTTTATTGACATCAAAAGCATTTGATACCGAAGAACGCTGCATCCTTTTAGGTAAACTAAAGCACTACAAGATTAACAAAATTATTTTATAGTTGGATTAAAAACATATCCACCAATAAAAAGCAATTTGTATATAATGTTCAATCTTGAGTAACAATTTTTTTAAATTTAATTATCAAAAATTCTATTCTTGTTTTATATATATATATATATATATATATATATATATATATATATATATATATATATATATATATATATATATATATATATATATATATATATATATATATATATATATATATATGTATTAATTAAAAAAGGTAAAAAAGATGTTTTTTAAACATCTTTTGAAAGTTTTGAACGTCTTTTGAATGTTTGGACGTCTTTTGAACTTTTAAAATATGTCCACTGGGAAGTTGAGAAAACAAGTCCAAACTTAAAGTTGAGAAAATGAACTATATATTTTTTCATTAAAAAAAATACCTTCCTTTTTAGTAAGGGTACATAAGGGTAATATGAGCAGATTAAGCGAAAATTGAGATATTTTCAAAAATAATTATGCAAATAAACAATTTTTAGGGATCTCTACTAATGAACCACATAGATATTTGGGCACCCGAAATTTTTTTAAAAAGCGCACAGGTTTTAAAAAAGTAGCAAAATTGCTCATATTACCCTCATCACTTGATAATATGAGCACTTTAAATTAGCTCAAAAAAAAAACATCAAGTAACAAAATACCAACCTAAGAATTTGAACTAGTGTTTGGAATATAATGATTCGTTATTAACAAAACTTATCATTAAAAAATCAAATTTAAAGCCACTTTTTATTGAACAATGCAACTATGTTTTCCGCAACAAAAAAAATTAGTTTGTAATTTTTTCAATTTTAATTAACTCAAACCTTTGAACGATAAAAATTCAAATTTTTTAATTTTAAATAACAGAAAAATGTTTAGCATAGATAAAATATTAAAATTTTCTACTATGTTTTGTTTTATTCAAAAAGCAATTAAAACCACTGCTATTTTAGGACTTTAAACTAGGTAACTTCAATGAAAAACACTGGGTAATTTGAGCATGCTCACTATTACATAAATTACACAAAAATTGCATCTTAGAAAAAAGTCAAAACTATGCAATGTTTTTTAAACGAAAATGGATTCGATTTTTATCTAACATATTTTTCTTTATGAAAAAGTTAAATTTATTATTTTAGCACCAAAATTTCGCGCCACAAATTTATTCATACGTGTTTACATTATTTTAACATCGCAAAAAATTTAACGTTTTAATTAGATGATAGCCGCTAATTACTGTATATAAATTTACGCTAATTGTACTGATTCCTGTTACTACCACATAAAGTTGATTCAAAAAATAAAAAGCAACTTCAACTTCACTGCGCACGTTTAAGAAATCTTTAAGTATTGTTATATTACCAAGGTGATCATATTTCCCTAATTTTACCTTACCTGATTTTATCTTTAATGATAAATTTGTTAATAAGCAACCCGGTTTAAGATTCTTGTAAGAATCATTAACTGGCTTTATTTTTGACTAATTTATCATTTAATTTCAAAGGTTAACTTTAAAATATATTCGGTCTAAAATCAAGAAACTTTTGGTTAGATGTATCGAGTTTATTAAAAAAAAACGTTACAAAACATTTAAAAAAGTTTCATTAAAAAAGAAAAAAATAAACATAAGAATTCCTATACCAATTCTTTTTGATAAAAATGTACCCTGATTTCTACGAATAAAATATATCCGGTCTAAAATCACTGAAACTTTTACACCAATAAACAAATTCTCAAAGAATTATATTTTGGGCTTGTTTATTTCTTCATTAGCTTATATACTTACATGTCATGGGCAAGTACATAGCAATGTATATTAGGTATGGAATACCTATCAAAAAGGATTTAAATGTATGGCAAAATTGTTAAGTTTTTTTTAAGTTTCTAATAGAAAAAAAAATTTTAACTTGAGAATCATTTGTGTCAACGTCTTTTTTTCAGTTTTTTTCAGGGTGTTTTTTTAATTCACTTATAGGCTTATTGAATCTTTTATTATAGTTATTTTATTGTAACTTCATATCTTTTAAAAGATTTTTCTTTGGAAAGATGACGTATTGTCATCTTCATCTTCTTTAAGCCACTGTTTATTTTTTTATTTAATAAAAACTATTAAACAGCGAAATGAATCTAATGAGAAAAAAACATTTATATACTTTTTTATCCATTTAAATATTGTTCACTTTTGATTAGAACATAAAATTGAAACCTAAAATTTTGGTTGCTGCATTTCTATTTTTTTTTTAAAAATAATTTCCTTATTGAACATTTTTTACCACAGATCTCCCCGCATGCAGAAATATCAACGGAACAATATACTTTATCATGTATTTATAAATAACCATAATAACTTTTAACTGAAACCTCTTTATCCATTTGAAACTTCTTATCGTAAGATAACACTTTTTTTACAAAATATGTTTTTTTAAATATAGAAACTATGATTGAATTTACTGATTAGCCTTTTTTATTTGTTATTCATCGATTAATCCATTAAAAAAACATTTTATCATTTAAAAAATAACTATTGATATTTTGTTTATATATACAAAATATATATACCTAGCTTACCTTAGGCACCTGCATATCTAAACCACATAGTTACCTAAATCTATATCAAAATTATCAAGAAAATATTTTATCTTAAAAATGCATTATGTTATAAAAAAATGTCAGAATGACATCAAATGAAAATATAGAATCAAATGAAAGTAATAAACAAAATGTTACTTCCTAAATGATATCAAAATTGTGTTGACGTTATTAGGGCAATCTTATCATTATTTTTTGAAACTCTTTAATATATAACTTAGAGAAGCACAACGTCCCTGGGATTATTACAAATGTGCTATTTTTTATTGGATACCTTTCTCTTATTGTTTATTTTTGTAAGATTTTTATAAACCCTTTAACATTCTTGTTTTTAAAAAAACTGATTTCTTTCGGGTCCTGGTGCCTCTACATTAAATGCAATAATATATAAAAACTTTACAGGATTCAATATAGTTCCCTGAATCAATTAGTTATTTGGGTATTGAATTTTATGAATTCGTTCTTAATTGGAACACGAATTAAATATATTTCTTTAATTGGATTTCCAGTATAAGATTTAATAATCCAATCGGTTAATCTCCTTTAAGGTTGTAATATGTTGCTATAAAATTAGTCATTTGTAAAACAATCTTTAAACATTTGTAAAACAACGTTTAAACATTTTGAATGTATTTGTTATGAGACTATAATTTATTATTTATGTTATTAGAATATAACTTTACATATCTAATAAAACCAAAAATCAAGTATATTATGTTTTAATTAGATGATAGCCGCTATCATATCTAATACATTTATATATAATACCTATCGATCTAATACATTTATATATAAACTTTACAAACATGTTTTATAATTCGTCTTATATAATCTGTATAAGTAAAAGTCATCTAAAATAAATTATGCTAAATAATGAAGTATTTTATATTATTATCAAATTTATTTATAATGTATTTTTGGCCAAAAAGCTCCAACAATAGATGGCATCAATGCCAAAAAAATCTATGGAAGACCAAACGCCACACCAAAAAACTAATTTTCTAAATTAAGTTTTCTAAGAAGTAACTTATGTGTCTTTTCTAAAAGCCTAAAGCTGTTCATCGATTGATCATTCGTAGTAAACATTTGAGATTCACTAAAACATTCTTTAAATATCTTTTTAGCCTCAATCGTTATGATTACCTAATTATAAAATACTATAAAACAATAATTATTTTTATATTTACTATTCATTTACCTATTTAATTATAGTTTCTATTTTGTATAATTTTTATGTTCCTGTTTACAGAGGCGATTCTACAAATAAAATAAGGGGGGAGGGGGGGGGTGAATCCATAAAAAGTGCCGGCTGGCTTTGTAAAAAAAAAAAGGTCCTCAAATTAAAATTTATCCAACTGAATTGTTTCAAATACCCGACAAGCCGACTAAATCCATAAAAAACCAACTATAACTTGAAAATCACCAAATCCCCCCACGCCCCACCATAAAATCACCTCTGCCTGTATACCTTTTTATGGAAATTAAATTTCTTATTGAAAACTAAAATTTCAGATTGTCTGATTGGTCACGAATGTCATAAATTTGTGACCTAATATTATATGCCTGGTGTCCGAGTAGTAGCAGTAGTAGTAGTAGTAGTAGTAGTAGTAGTAGTAGTAGTAGAGTAGTAGTAGTAGTAGTAGTAGTAGTAGTAGTAGTAGTAGTAGTAGTAGTAGTAGTAGTAGTAGTAATCTCTACGAGCCCTTATGTTACAAAACGCGTACCCTTGGCGTTACTTTTGAGCCCTTATGTTACTCAAAGTGCCCTTATGTTACGCTGAAGCCCTTATGTTATTTTTTAGCCCTTATGTTACCGCAAATCGGTAGCGTAAGGGCAAAAATAGCCCTGGTACTACATTAAAAGGTAACATAAGGGCACTTACCTTAAAACTAAAACAAATGTGTAAACGAGCAAATTTAAATATGGTAGAGTTTCGCTTGTATTGCATTGATCGATATTGCTTTATCGTGTATGTTTTTATAGAAGTAATTGTAATTATGTTTAATTGTTTAAAAGTTTTTTGTATAAGTTTTTAATCATTCGAAAGAAGGATCTACTATTAAAATTGTCAGTATTGAAGCAAAAAGGTTTTTTTAAATTTATTTTTTACAGACTTGTTCTTCAATTGAACCATGTTTAAAAAAAATTTTAGAGTTGATGAATAAAGTTAAATGAAGAAACAGAAGCTAAATCAGCACGCATTAATATTGGTCTAAATGAATAACAAAAAGTCTTATCACCATCAAAATGACAATCCAAATTTGAAAAAAGTTGGATTGCTTCACAACCAGGAGCAGTATGTAACATGACTTTAAATGAGTTTGCAATAGCTTTAGAAAATAATGATAGTTTTGTTGTGAGTGCGAGAAAGCACATTAAATTCTTAAAGAAATGTGTAATATTATTATATATTACTAATATGTTGTACTAGTAATATGAAATATATTGCTAATATTTTATTTCACATTTTACTTGTAATATGAAATATATTTTTAACAATATAAATTAAGATATAAAATAAGAGTCATGATTTTTTCATTTAATTGTAAGTTTTCACTTGCGTTTCAGCATGAAGTTACAAAATTTAAATTTTAGATGTTAAGTCATCTTTTTCATCAATTTAATCTTTAGTTTAATGTTAGTGATCATATTTTTAAAATTTATTACATATAATGTTATTAAATCAGTTATTTAACAATAATAACTGTTATTATAGTTTTTTACATTATTATAAGTGTCTTACTATCCATTGAGAGTTAATGTGATCCTTTTTAAGCATTAATTTGCTACTTATTCTTATAGGGTATTATAAAGATAGCAAATTTGTTTGTATATCATAAACATGCAAGTTTTGCATCGTAAAGTAAATATGATTCTTTCTAATAAGTATTAATTTTCAAAAGGTTTTAAATATTAAAACAATGGAAGAAAATGTTTTGATACTGTGTGTGCTATGTAAAAGACCAATAGATAATTGTTGTAAAAGTCAACTGTGGGAAAACGATGCTTACAAAATTTGCAAGGCTTGCGCAGGTTTTTTTCATTGTTTTAATTTATTCAAGTTTTTTATGTTTATTTATTACTTAAAAAAGTTACTAAAATACTTAAAAACTTATTCATTATGTATAGATTCATCGTGTGGTATTTCCTACAATGAGGGCGTTATATTAATTGAAAAAGGTTTGTTTTTACTCAACTGACACATTGCTTGTGAGTTGTGAGGTCTTAATTTATTTTATAACTTATAATAAAATTTTTAATATAACATGCTATATAACATAATATACATTTTTAACATAATATACTAAATTATAACCTGTATGCAGCTCTTTAAAATAAATAAAATAAGCTCAATAAATTCCTGATTTTTATTTATTTTTTCCAAAATTTTACACAAAAATCAATAGAAGAAGTTATATCTTCATCATTGTTGATGTCTATTTATTCTGGTCAAGTATGTGTACTTTATAAATATTATTGTGTAAATAAATTTGCAAATTTAGATTTTACTAATCAAGTATTTTTGTGTTGTGTTTTGGAGAGTGTGGTAATAAATTTATTATTTATTATTTTTGTTTTGCAGCTCTATAGTTACAGACACAATATATATAAAGCTATTGGAAAAGTAAACATTGATTAAAATTTATATATATTATTTAAAATTTATTACAATAACACTTTATATTAAGATAAAAATTAATAGATTATAAAAAAGTCATAAGACTATTTTTGATTTGTATTTTATAGGAAACCTTAAAGACGAAGACCTAATGTATCTTTTACCGGAAGATAAAAAAGATTATTTTTTTTGTGCTCTTTCAAAATCATTTAATAATCATACGGTATGAAATATAAAGTTATTATCAAATAAATAAATATATAAATAATTTAAATATACTAGAGGCTATTCTAGGAAAAAAATTTATGCAGTGTAACCCTCTGTCCTGGCAAAATTTAGTGAAAATATTGCTGAATGTAGGTGTTTTTTTTTTTTGGCAAAAAAGCCAATTTGCCATAAAAAAGTTCTCAATTTTGAATTTCTGCGCCACCCAAATAAGGTCAGTGCTGTCAAAAACGATCTAGAATAGCCTATGTTTTCATATATTTACTGGTAGGATCAAGAGATGGCAAAAACAATTCTCTCCTGAAATTTTTTTTTAACTTAAATTTTTTTTTCAAATTATATTTTTGAATTTAGCCTCTTTAGTTTTTGTTTTTATACCCCCTCCCCTTATCAACATTTTTAATCTTGACATTTTTCTAACAAATGACTATATATATATATATATATATATATATATATATATATATATATATATATATATATATATATATATATATATATATATATATATATATATATATATATATATATATATATATATATACATATATATATTTGACACATTCATACACATATATATTTGACACATTCATACACATAGATTAAAAAAATCAGTGTTATATAATTATATATAAAAAAGGTTACATTTTTTATTTAGTCTAATGATTATACTTTTAAAGTATTGCTTCCTGAAGCAATACTGTATCTTTTTGCAAAGGTGCAAAGAATTTCAAGAATCAAAGTATGTTTTTAAATAAATTGTAGAATATTTATTTTATATATTCTCATTTGCAATTTAAAAATTTTTTTGTTAACAGTTGTTTGTTAATGTGTTCTTATATGATTTTTAATAATAATATTTTGGTTTGCAATTTAATATAAATTATTGCTTGTTTTAATATAAACTTGCAAAATAAAAATTAAGTTGATTTAAGTAAGCAAACTAAATCAATAACATGTAAACATATAAAATTTATTATACATTTATGAATCTATTTTGTTATAGGCTGAAGTATTGTTAAGTTCATATTCTTTGCAAAGGTATGCATTTTTTTTTTTTTTTAAGATTTAGATGCCCAAAGAAGTCCTTACGGTCTTATCACAGAGCACTGCGGAAAAGCATTTAATAGAAAGTTCACGCCTCCTTCCCAACCAATGTTGCAAAACTTGCCCAGAGGTGGGGTTTGAACCACGGATCTTAAGTCTCTGATACAAGTGCGCTACCACTGCGCCACGGCTGTTGTAATTTTTCATTTTATTTGTATAAACATTTAAGTTTATATTTATTTTAACATTTTAGCATTTTTGACCTTAGAGTTTTATTTTACAATTTTGTATTTTTATTTTATTTTTGCTAGTATTGCATAAACTAAGTGAATTTGAACAGGCAGAATTTGTACTGCAATGCTGTTCAACCTTCTAAGCGCATAAATTGGTTTAGGGCTAAAGATAGTTGATATTTAGAATAAAAATAAATTTTTTAGTTTTTTATGTGTATTTTGATTACTTTATTTATTTATTTATTTTAATTTATTTTGCTATAAATATTGTTGTCCTTATTTCAGGAATAATGAACTGTTAAATAAAATCTCAGATGAAGATAATGATTTTATTTTTGGTAATAAATTATATTGTTTGTCAAGTTATGAAGATATTTTTACAAAACCTTATAAAGCTTTCTCAAAGTTAATTCAAGGTTTTGGTAATCAGTTAAAGAAGACTTAATAATATTTGTAATAAAAAATTATTATTGTAAACTATTATTATCCTTTTTTAATAATAGTATAAATATTATTATTTTACTTTAGAAACAAATATTACATTAGAAAAAGAAAAGGTATGCATTCATTTTATTCTCAATTATGTAATTAGACTTAAAAAAGGTAGTATATAAATATATCATTGAATACCATTCCATGTTTTTAATAAGTAATCAATGGCTAATGATTGCCATTTAGGCATTAAACTTAAAGTACAGTAGAAAAAGTTGTTTTTTCTTCATTATATATATATATATATATATAGTTTACATTTTTTGGATAATTTTTGCAAAATATTTTCTGCATAGGTTTCTAATGATTTGGTTGAGAGTTCACTCAATAGTGTTAATGTTAAAACAGAAAGGTATTTTTGATTTTTATGCAAATATAGGAACAATACATAAATAATGCATCTGCCCTTATTCTCTTTCTTGATCATTTTAATTATCTCCCCTATTATGTAGTATAATAAATCAACCAGCAATTGGAATTGACAAGGGTACCGTTATTGATACAACCAAGGTTAGCCTTAATTTCCCTTTTTTAATATTGTGTTTAAAATAAAATTGATTTAAAGAAATAAAAAAAATTTACAGACTTTTTCTTCAGTTGTACCTTTGTTTAAAAAAGTTGTTAAGTCGAGGAATAAAGTAAAGTGCCCTGTTTGTGGAAAGTAAGTTTCAAAATTAAAGTTTTTAATGTAAATTTTTTTATTGATATAATTTTTAACAGATTCATTAGGTTTTTTTTTTTTTTTTAAAGATTTATATTCAACTTAAAACGACACTTAATAACCAAACACAAATGGGATTAATTTTGGGCTTAACGCAAAAAGGAAAGTTTTGACCACTACCAAAATAAAAGCAAAGAGCAAAATTTATAAAAGAAAAATTTGTTCTATGCTCCATTGCACAAAAGAGTTACTTGGACTCGGAAATCATCTGAGACAGTTCCACAAATTGTCTAATTTTGAGACAAAAAAATATTTATCTAAAAGTGTAAGTGTTCTTGAAAATTTTGAAAGTGAATCTGATGAGAAATCAAACTCCTCAAGTGACTTTAGCGATAACCCAAGACTTGAGTGTCATTTTGATAAAGAAATTTTTGTTCAAGGTGAAAATTTTTTAGAAGTAAATTCAAGCAGTGATGAAGACTGGTTAGCTTCAGAATATGTTCAATCTAGATTTTTGAAAAAAGGTCTGTAAAATGTTATGTTTTTTTCAAGTTATGCTTTTTTAATATGTTATTTTAAAATTTTTTTAAGAAGATTAATTTAAACTGTCAATTACTCTTTATTAAAAAGTTATATATTTATAATAAATGGTTCTGAAAATTCCTCCTCTTCTAAATCACATTCATTATCTGAGTTCTCCGACAATGAAGATGAAGATGACACATTTTATATGACATCATCAATAGAAGAAAGTTTAATGCAAAACTTTGTAGAATGGCTTGTTAGTTCTTCTGGTGGTCGTAAACCAAAAAGGTCTGCAGTAAAACATAAAGGAATTATAATGGGTATAGTTAGACATAAAGATAATAAGAATATAAATTATGTTAACCTCCCCAAAGAGTCTTTTTTAAACTCATGGATGACAGAGCTAGATAAAAAAGGAAAAAAGCCAGGAACAATAAAAACATATTTAGGGTCAATAAAACATTTTTTAGATTTTTGTCTAACAACAGATAGAACTGATATCATAGGACACAAGGAACATTCAAAAATTGTTACATTAATTTTGCAATGGGGTAAATCTTTGCAAAAATCAATAAAGGAGAATCAGTATGACAAGGATATTATTGACTTTAATAACTTTCCTACAGCAGAAGAAATAGTAATATTAGATAATTCTGATATTTTTAAAGATGCAACAAATGTTCTAAAATCAAGTAATACAAGTTTTTTTAAAGTAAACAAACATCTTTTTGTCTTGTCAGAGATTACTTAATAACTTGCATTGTTTTCGATAATGCTTCGAGACCAGGTGCAATATGCAATATGACGTTAAATGAATTTTCAGTTGCTTTTGAGAACACAGATGGTTTTGTTGTTAGCGTTGAAAAACATAAACCTTCTTATAAAGGGCCAGCACATATTGCATTGTCAAAGACCTTATATCTGCATGTACAAAAGTATATAACTTTTTTAAGAAATACCTTAGATGGGGTATCTACATCACAAGACTCTTATGTGTTTGTAAGTTGGCATGGGGGTGCTATTTCTTCCTCAATGCTGACTACACAGTTTTCTAATTTTTGGAAAAAAGCCCCAGGAAAAATTACAAAAATGACTCCAACTATTGTTAGAAAATTTATTACAACTACTGTTCACGAAAACCATAGTGAGTTAAAACAAAACACAGCTAATTTACTATGCCACAGTTTAAAAACGGCTAAAACAAAACACAGCTAATTTACTATGCCACAGTTTAAAAACGGAACAAGCTTATGTCCTTTTTGATAACAGAAAAAAAGCTGGCGAAACAAGTAAAAAACTTCATGATGTACAAAGAATGTTGGAACAAGAATCTTCTTTTAATAGCATATTTATGAATGAAATATCCAGAGGCAATATTACTCTAGAAGATGTCAAAGTTAAGTTTAAAGAACACCCAACACTGGGAGATGCATCTTGTTCAAAAAGTATTAAAAAAGTTTTGGATAGCGTTCGCTACATTATAAAGAAAAACAAACTATATGATAATGATAAAGAATATAATGTAATCGACGAATCTGACGAAAATCCAAGCGATTTAAGCTTAAACTCTTCTGTGATAAACAAACTAAGAGAACGTAAAGAGTTTAGTCCAACTGACTTAAATTTAGTATTTTTGCACTTGGCAAAGTTTATAAAATCAAATGAACCGTTGATAAAAAAAGAAGTTTTACATTATCTGCAAACTGTTCCAGAATGTAAAGTATTGTTAGAGAAATTTGGAATTAGTTCGTTAATTGTCAAAATCCGAACTGAGAGAAAGAAAGTAATACCAGACTCTCAATAAACTGTATAAATCATTGTCAATTTCAGAATAGATCATTTTTTCTGTTAATTATTTTTGTATTATATCTATATATTATGAATATAAACATATAATTAGAAACATGTATGTATGTATTATATTTAATTACATATAATTTTATATATATATATATATGTATATATATATATATATATATATATATATATATATATATATATATATATATATATATATATATATATATATATATATATATATATATATATATATGTATATATATATATGTATATATATATATATATATATATATATATATATATATATATATATATATATATATATATATATATATATATATATATTTATTTATATTTATCAGGTCAGGAGTATGGTCTTCATGATCATCCTGCTACTGGTAACATGTAACCCAGTGCAACCTGTTCCATGTTCTGCTGCCTTGCAGGATTTGCTATCTAAGCAAAGGCTGGAAGGAGTGTTCTTCCTGTCATCAGTACTATCTTATATCAGTCATGCCTATAGTAATTTTTTTTTTTTTTTTTTTCCCCATATAGTTGGAGGTGCCTTAGTTACTGTATAAGCTCACCTGTAATCTACGTTATATGTATGTTTGTGTTCTGTCTGAACCTCTGGCGCGGTGTTCGCTCACCCATAAGTTACTTTATGTTCTTTATGTATGTCTGTGTTCTGTCTGAACCTCTGGCGCGGTGTTCGCTCACCCGTAAGTTACTTTATGTTTATGTTTATGTTTATGTTTATGTTTATGTTTTTGATGTTTTTTTATGTATGCTTGTGTTCTGTCTGAACCTCTGGCGCGGTGTTCGCTCACCCGTAAGTTACTTTATGTTTATGTTTATGTTTTTTATGTTTTTTTATGTATGTTTGTGTTCTGTCTGAACCTCTGGCGCGGTGTTCGCTCACCCGTAAGTTACTTTATGTTTATGTTTATGTTTTTTATGTTTTTTTATGTATGTTTGTGTTCTGTCTGAACCTCTGGCGCGGTGTTCGCTCACCCGTAAGTTACTTTATGTTTATGTTTATGTTTTTTATGTTTTTTTTTTATGTATGTTTGTGTTCTGTCTGAACCTCTGGCGCGGTGTTCGCTCAACCGTAAGTTACTTTATGTTTTTTATGTATGTTTGTGTTTTGTCTGAACCTCTGGCGCGGTGTTGACTCACCCGTAAGTTGATTTATGTTTGTTTGTGTTCTGTTTATACTCTAATGCAGCGTGAGCTCAGTAACTAACTACTTACTCCAACTAAAAAACGTACACTCACCTTAGACTCCTGTATTTTGTTAGATGCAGTGTTTTTCCTTATGCTTTTCCAAAATGTCATGCCTGGTTTTCTCAAAGTACTGTTGCGGGAAGTAGCTCCTTTTAACTACTCCAGGTCAGGTCAGGATAATCGAGATCAATCTTGCTACTGGTATCACATAACCCAGTACCACCTGCCACAAGCCCTGCTGCCTTGCAGAGTGTGCTCTTCTTATGCAAAGGCTAGGAGAAATAAACTCCGACTAAAAATTCCCCTGCCTTGGGGCTCTTGGTTGAGTAAAGGCTAGAGATGGTGTCTCGATAAAAATACTCATCTTGGGCAGATGTTAACTGCATCCTGCTACTGTCTTGTAGAAGGCCTCCTAGGCAAAGACTTTAGGGGTAAGCAGAAAAATTCTGCTAACCAGCCTCGAACCCCTTCTTCATCTATTAGGCTGGCGTAGATGTAACCTGTGTTACATTGTTTCCTGCCTAGAATGATGAATGCTGGATCTCCTTGACTCTACTCATAGAATTTTGCTTATGCCTCTATGATAATGGCTATGCAACTCTTCCTGTTATCTCCATATGAGGGTACAGCTCTAAAACTCAGTTTAATGGTTCTGAGGCCGGCTGGTAGTAAGGTTTCCCGAACTCTGTGGTAGCTCTCAGAGAGACTGATTCCATCAACAGCTGCAAAATATCAGAGTATTAACAGTGCCATGTTGCGCATGGATGGTGTCCCTGTTAATGCTTTTGGTGTGCATTGTCAAGGCCACATAAGGAGCCCTATGTCACGGCTTAGGGTTAATTAACAGGACTGAGACAACTGCATAGCTCATTGATTAGGAGGCTGTGCTCTATCTATGAATGAGTCAAGTTCTCATTAAACCCAAATCATGACCAAAGTAACCAAAAATTTAAAACCTAAAAAACCATCCCCACCACCTAAATATTTTAATATACCTTTTACAAATATTCGCGGTCTACGAAGCAACTTTCCATCAGTTGAGTCTTACCTCCTGCAAAATTCACCAGACTTGCTTGCACTCAGTGAAACAAATTTAAGTTCTGCAATTCCTTCTTCAGATGTCAGTGTTGACGGGTACTATCCTTTGATTCGTATAGACTCCAATAGTCACATGCTAGGTTTAGGGGTATACATACGCATTAATTCCCCTATTTGTCGTGAAATCAGGTTCGAATCCTTTGACCATTCTTTTATGTGCTTTCGCCTAGCACCTCTTCACTCTATTTCACCTTTCTCTTTGTTCTTTATCGTTCTCCTTCTTCCCATGATTGCACTCTTTTAGATGTTATCTCTGATCAAATTGACCATGTCCTCTCTCTTTATCCCTCTGCCAATATTGTTGTTGTTGGTGATTTTAATGCCCATCACACTGAATGGCTTGGCTCTAACACCACTGATCTTGCTGGCACTAAAGCCTTTAACTTCTGCGTTTCTCAATCTCTTACTCAGATAGTTAACTTTGTGACTCGTTTTCCTGACAACCCTAATCATTTACCTTCACTCCTTGACTTATGTCTTGTCTCTGACCCTAGCTTATGTTCAGTTTCTCCCTTTTCTCCCTTAGGTGGTTCTGACCATGCAATGATCTCTATAAATCTTTCTTCTCGTACTTCTTTTTTGGGCTCACCTTATCATCGCACCACCTACTACTACCCTAAAGCTGACTGGGATTCCTTTCGTGATTTTCTTCGTGATGGTCCTTGGGCTGATGTTTTTTCTCTCTCAGTTGACAAATGTACCTCCTACGTAACCTCCTGGATTCAGGCTAGAATGGAAGCTTTTATTCCTTCTCGTCGGTTTCAAGTCAAGCCTCATTCTACTCCATGGTTTTCTCCTTCTTGTGCGGCTGCTATATCCAATCGTAACCATTTTTTTCATCTTTTTCAAAAGAACAACTCTCTTGAGTTGAGCACAAAAACAAGCTCTTCAAAAAATATATTAGGTCTAAAAATCAAACAAATAAAACCATATTCCACAATGAGTATAAAGTATTTCGTAATAAACTCCAATCTAAACTCAAAGAAAGCAAAAAAAATTACTTTGATAATTATTTTACGGAAAACATAAAAAATATAAAGGCAACTTGGAAAGGTATCAAAAACATCATTAATATTAAAAGCAACTCTCACACAACTCCTAATGTAATCGAACATAACAATATAACAATAACAAACCCCTTTGATATTTGTAATGCTTTCAACAACTACTTTACTAACATTGGTAAGGATGTCCAGGCAATAATTCCTTCATCCATAAATCATTTCACATATTACTTATCAAATCCTGCTCAAAAATCTTTTTTTATAAAACCTACTGACGAACATGAAATCTTAAAAATTATCGACTCTTTAGACTCAAATAAAGCTTCTGGACCAAATGGTCTACCAGTTAAAATTCTAAAACTATTAAAAACTGAACTTTCAAGAATTCTTTCTAACATTTTTAATACCTCATTCTCAAGCGGTATTTTCCCAGAAAACTTAAAAACTGCCGAAGTTATACCTATTTTTAAAAATGATTCAAAACTAATAATGTCAAACTATAGGCCAATTTCCCTTCTCTCCAACATTGATAAAATTCTTGAAAGGCTAATGTTTAACCGCTTATACGAATACTTTAATGAAAATAAACTGTTTTGTGATCTACAATTTGGTTTTCGAACAAAATACTCTACATCACTTGCTTTACTAAGTCTAACAGAAAAAATTAAAAATTCTCTAGATGAAGGAATGTTTGGATGTGGTATATTTATTGATCTTCAAAAGGCATTTGAC